TCTCAATCCCAGGGTCCCTTTTCCATCTTTGATCACTGTTAGCCACGAGGAAAAAAAAAACTTCCTTCATTTCATGCACCAACTATCATGACATTTGACTTGAGTTATGGGGACTACTAGGTATGGGCTGAAAACTGTGCAACAGTGAGCTAAGTAAATGTTTCTTCTTTTAATAATTTTTATGTCAAATATGTTTTAAAAAGCAACTAAAAGTCTGGCTAATACAGTTATATAATTTCTCTAATAAAATAAGTTTATGTTATATATATGATTTATAGCCAAATTATACATTATTGTTTATGCTTATTATATATATATAATTGCTATATGTTTATATGCATAAACAAGACTATGTAATTGTTTGCATGTATAAACAGTAATAAATAACTGTATAGCGTATTTAATAAGCACATTTTTATGTAATACAAACGCTCCTCTCCTTACAATGGGGATATATTCTGATAAGCCTATTGTGAGTTGAAAAGAATCTCATTTAAGTGAAAGTGCATTTCAACCTCAGCACTGCATAGCACAGTCAACTGCAGAGTAGCAGCATCACCTGGTGATGGTGCAGCCGACAAGAAGCTGAAGCTGAGAGCTGTGGCCAGCACTGTGAGAACATAGCATACTCTGCTAGCCAGGGAAAGGTCAAAACTCAAAAGTGGAAGTATGATATCTATTGAGTGTACACTACTTTGCCGCCGTTATAAAACTGAAAACTCATAGGCCAGCTTCAATAGAGACTTACCTTTTTGTGTCATTTGATTAAATACAATGTGTCACTGTACTTTATAAAAATAGAGACAGGGATGCACTGTGGCACAACCATGGGAGTCAGTGCCACACGTTCCAGAGTGTATTTTACTTAATGTCTAAGTCATCTCGGCCTTAGCATGGGGGGAGAATGGCATCCTTTCAGAATCTTTTGAGACTGAAATAAAGGAGTGCATACACAGTACCTACTGGGGTGGCTGGCAATGGCTGTGTACACAGTGTGACAGAGGAGGAGAGTGAGAGCAATGAACAGCAGCAATAAGTACACTATGAGAGTGGAGGGAGTCCCTGTCATGGTCCTAATTCCAGTGAGTGGTCACATTGAAATTCTCTAGAAAAATAATGAGTTTCAAAGGCAAACAATGGATTGAACGTGCTAAAAAAATTACTGAGTTTTATAATCTAGCATTGCTTTAGTTTTTTTTCAATAGGTCATGGTGGTAAGACTTAAGAGAATAAAAATGTTCTCTCTATCGGAGAGGGTAATTGTGGACACTTCAGTCTTGGTACATGTTTGTGATTGCATGGTTCTTAGTGAATACTCTGTGTGGCAGGAGAATACTGACTTAAAATTACTTTCCAGTTTTCAAGGGCTCACCTTATGGTTACACTTGAGACTAACAAGTGTAACCCAAAAGGATTGGTGTATAAACCATGCCAGAAAGTCAAAGCTTATCAAACAATATTTGCCTGAGACCCCCTTAGTTAGTATGGGATTCCTCATGTGACTGTGGCAGAGACACTCTGAACAACAGCGGGAAAGACACACTGCTCACTGTGACTCCTAAACACAGAAGTCAGTCAGCATTAGTGGGTTCACATCCAGACATTTAAGGCAGGACTACAGGAATCTTGTTGAGTACTTGAAACATAAATTGGGCATTAAACATACAGCATTTTCATTTCACCAAGGATTAATAGTTATAGGAAAAAAAGATGTTCATGACTAAGAACACTGGAAACTGAAAAAAAATGGTTTTGGCACCAGCAATAAAGCAAGGCACATTCACAGGAGAACTAGTAAATTAACAAAGGATTAAAACAGAAAAAAACTGATTAGGATGCAAAATAAGTAGGTAATATGAAGGAAAAGTAAAGATGCTTTTTGCACAAAAGGATCATACTATAGGTTTGTAATATGATATTCAAGAAGACTGGAAAATATTTCTGTGATAGAATGTAGGAGAATTTCTGACATGGGTTACCTGTAATATGACTTTAATGCAAGAAACTGTAGTGATTTCCCAAAGTCCCTCTGAGTCTTGTGATGCTCTTAGGTTCTTAGACAGTGTTCTTGAGCTCTTTGGTGGAGGTTATGTGTGGGATGTGAAATTATAAAGGATTTACAACAACATTTGAAGTGCTGCAGTGCTGTGGGATGGTCTGTATGTCAAATGTGTTGCTGATTGGTCAATAAATAAATCACTGATTGTCCCGTGGCCAGGCAGGAAGTATAGGCGGGACAAGGAGGAGAATAGAGCTGGGAAGTGGAAGGCTGAGTGAGGGAGACACTGCCAGCCGCCATGATGAGAAACAGCATGTAAAGATACTGGTAAGCCACGAGCCATGTGGCAAGGTATAGATTAATAGAAATGGATTCATTTAAGCTGTAAGAACAGTTAGCAAGAAGCCTGCCATGGCCATACAGTTTGTAAGCAATATAAGTCTCTGTGTTTACTTGGTCGGGTTTGAGCAGCTGTGGGACTGGCAGGTGAGAGAGATTCGTCCTGACTGTGGGCCAGCCAGGAAAACTCTAGCTACAAATGGCGTCCAACGTGGTGGCAAGAGTTTCCACCTAAACCTGAGAAAAAAGATTCTAAAATGGAGCTAAAAAACAGCTTCCTAATTGTCTCTCTCAAATGAGCAGCAGCTGCCAGTTTGAGCTACTGGCGGGTTCCTAGCGTGCGTGCATGCTCGACCTGCAATATGGCGGGAATGAGGCCTCTACACGTGGCACATTAAGCTGTGTGGTGAATTTAGCCTTTGCTAGTACAAAAAAAAAAAAGAGGTTTCTGGGCTACACACTGCTTTGATAGAAGCATAGACCCACTATTTCTGAGAGTTGATGGCTCCTAGAGCTGTCGGAAAACGTATCACCGCCATGTTGGGAAGCTGAAGTGGGCGGAGTCAACAGCACCAGCACAGTTTCAGGCTTAGAAGGCTGCAGTTCAAAGCAATAGGCTCAAGCTAATATAAAAAAAAGCCGTGTAAAGATGGCTACCACAAAGAGAATCTGGATTATGTTCTCTTTGATATTCGTAACTGAAGAAAAACATTTGATTACAAAAGCTGTTGAGTTATGCCAAAATGTATATTTTAAAGGTACCTTGACTTCAAAATTTGGATATAAGGATATGTTGCTTTGGAAAGGAGGCTCTGCTTTTGTTTCCACAGAAAGCCAGAGGCTATGGATTTGTTCAAGATTAAGATACATCAGGTTTGACCAGCCAAGACCACCTGAAAGGTCTCCGATGACACCATGGCCCAGATGATCCAACATCCAGAACCATTTCAAGGCAACTGGCTCAGACGATACACCCTCATGGACTACTCCATAATCCTAAAGTATTCTTTGTGTCCCCATAAGATACAGCGCCCCCCTCCAGCAGGAAGTAGTAAGAGAAGCTACGCCCAAATTCCCAAATATACCAAGCTGACTTTGGAGATGTGTAAAGGTTAAAACCTTCCTTTTTAAGAAAAGAAAAGGGGAAGTGCTGTGGGATGGTCTGTATGTCAAATGTGTTGCTGATTGGTCAATAAATAAATCACTGATTGTCCCGTGGCCAGGCAGGAAGTATAGGCGGGCAAGGAGGAGAACAGAGCTGGGAAGTGGAAGGCTAAGTCAGGGAGACACTGCCAGCCGCCATGATGAGAAACAGCATGTAAAGATACTGGTAAGCCACGAGCCATGTGGCAAGGTATAGATTAATAGAAATGGATTCATTTAAGCTGTAAGAACAGTTAGCAAGAAGCCTGCCACGGCCATACAGTTTGTAAGCAATATAAGTCTCTGTGTTTACTTGGTCGGGTTTGAGCAGCTGTGGGATTGGTGGGTGAGAGAGATTCATCCTGACTGTGGGCCAGGCAGGAAAACTAGCTACACTGCAGGGAATGGGCTGTGCTGTTCCAGTGAGCTACTGCAGTATAATCTCTGTAGATACTTCATGTTCACTTTGGAAGACGCAGGAAGCTGAAAACTCCACCCACACAATAATCTTTATGGAGCTGGTGAGTCTACAGATGCAGTTACAGAGAAGAGAAACTGCTTATCAGGTGGTACCACTTGTATGTGTCAACCAGCAAGGGTTTTGAGCTGAGTTTATCAGTCACAATGGGATATGAGCCTGGCCAAGTTGTTGCCTCCACAGTTTTCTGTATAACTGACTCCATATCTTAGGGGCTAGATTTCTAGTGTAATTTCAGTTTCCTAGCTCAGACAGTAAACAATTATGCTTTGGGATTGTCTTCTGCCAGTATAACTACAGACTACAAGTTATGACAGTCAAAGAAATGACCGTGGGAAATAATGGCATGTTAGCCTTTGTTGTTGTGGGAGGAAAGAGGATGAGCAAAGATGATACTTCAAAATCTTTCTTTTGACCTTGATTTAGGCTAGAATCCAGAAAAAAAAAAAACTGCTGCCACTGTGGGAATGTGAATCTTCATGATTTGGACCAACACAATTGCAATATGCCAAAGGAATAGTTTATGGTCTCCTGACAATATGGGTGCTCAAGACTCAGCCAACAGTGATAAGCTACCAACTAAGTTAAAATGTGTTCACAGATGTTGTCTTTTATTTATTGCACATGAATTATACATTTGGGAAAATATAGAACAGGAGTTGTTAACATTATTAGGCATTAAAGAGAAAAATGTTGGAAATTATTTTTTATAGATTAGTAACAATGTGATCCCAGTGAATCTTGCATTGAAACTGCCCACTTCAGATGGTGACTGCCCTTAAGGCCCATCTGTTTGGATCAGATGAAGAGGGTCTATTGAGATGAAGTGATTGGGATCCTGGGACTGTAACTACATCTGATGATGAAGACATTATCAGCTCTATTTACAAACACAGCTGTGACAGGGTTCTTTAGGGGAATAGAATCAAGAAAATGCATGCACATTCATGCATACATCCCATATGTGTGTTTGTGTATGTGTGTGTGATATGTATATATAATTGTATATGTGGACTCACTATACAGTATATTGTCTGGTAGACTGGAGACTGTATGCTCTGCTGCATGCTGAAGACCTAGAACTCTGGCAGCTGTTTAGTACCACAAACTGGAGGCCTCGGAACAAAGGGGACCAATGATGAGGCCCCAGTGGAAAGCTGAAGGCCTGAAAAAACCCCTGGATGATTCTGCACTGAGAAGCCAAAGACACTGGAATCTGATGCTCATGGGTAAGGGGTATAGTTATGGCTCTACTATACTTGCTTAGGAAGAAGGGAGTGTTTCTGCATTGGCTTACTTCCATTTTTCAGTTGTATTTCATCCATACTATACAGTCTGTTGGATGGTGCTGCACAAATTCAGGGTGGGTGTTTCTTTCTCAATTGTTGTTCCACACATCAGTCTCACTTAGAAGTGTGCCTTACTAATCCAGGTGTCTCTCAGTCCAGTCAATTTGATAATCAAGATTAAACATCACAGCAGTCTACTGGTAAGGTGGAATGTCTCCTGGATTAATGGATCAAAGAAACAGGTATAGCTATGTTGGTACCTGGAAAGTTTGCAGTCCTGAGCATGGTTAAAAGGAAATTTTGGGTTTGCAAGTTTCCTTATCAAATGGTGGCATATTGCAAATATATAAGAAGTCTTACATTTGCTTTTGTCTTTACTAAATCACATTGTTTCATACTGTTTTGTTGGAGAAATATGGTTTCCAATCTTTAGTGAAAAGTTATTCAGTTTAATTTTTCTCACTGTCACACCTTTACTAGTGGGAAAATAGGTAAGTCAGCATGCATTTTATCTGGGTTTTAGAATGAAGGACAGTGAGAGATGAAGGAAGAATGGTAATCTCAGTTAGGATGAATTGTCAGATGGAATCACAATGATACTGGATCTTACCTTTAATACTGTGAGGGAACAAATAAAGGAAAAAGAGAAGCATCACGAACAAGGATGGGATGGGAGGGGTGTGTTAGCATCAGATTGCTTTCTGGTTATCCCTGGATACTGATCTACACTGCTACGTCCCACAGCAAGAGTTACGCTTGATTAGAACAAATCAATTTTACAGGTAGTTCCAGTGTCCTACCTGGAACATTAAGAAATATGTTTATTGTGTGACTCCTGTAGATATCAGTATATGCAATTTCCAAATGAAGTATACCTTCGTGTGTCATGTATCACACATGATTTTATGCTTCGTAAGTATCACCAGGCCTCACCAACATATAACTTTGAATAAAATGGTTCTACAAGATTGTAGTAGATCTGAAAAATTCCTATTGTGTAGTGATATCATAGTCATTGTATCACTATGGTGCAATACACTATTAAAATGTTTAAGGAAAAACAAACAAACAAAAAAACTACTTTGTTACCAGCCATAAAAGTGTGTTTAGCATCTGGGCGGTGGTGGCACACGCCTTTAATCCCAGCACTGGGGAGGCAGAGCCAGGAGGATCTCTGTGAACTTGAGGCCAGCCTGGTCTACAAAGCGAGATCCAGGACAGGTACCACAACTACTCAGAGAAACCCTGTCTCAAAAAAAAACGAACAAACAAAAAAGGTGTGGCTAGCACATGAAATTACTTACAGTATAGCACACAAATTTGAGTGATCATAAATTATTATTAATAGCATAAAAATTTATATATTTTTGTGGTTTTACAGTGTACTTTTTCTACCCTGTCTGAAAACAAGCCAAACACACAAACCCAAAATAAGTCAAGAAAATAAAAAGGATCAACTAACAGGAAGGGGGTTGGGGTCTATTCTTCTTATACCCTCACCTCCTGATGAGCACACACAAGGCCCACCCCTGATTCTGTCTATGCACCTACCACCAAATCAGACTCTCCTCTCTTCTACCAGTTCTTATTTCTACTCCATGTCCTAAGGATCCATTAGTGAGATTAGATGTACTTTTTGAATGGTAAAGCTGGAAAGGTTTGCCAAATGTTTTGCAGACTATACACAGGTGTAACTTACCCACTGTCACCAAATGTAAGAGGCTATCTGCACCTGTCTTAGCTAAAATGAAAATATATATAGAAACAGCTAGGGAGCTAAAACATGCTGTTGTAAACAATATGTTACGTAACTTTTAAAAGTCATAGTTTAATGTAAAAGGAACAGTATACTAAAAAATTCAACGCCAATCTTCACATTGTTCTTTAGTTAAAGATATTTTGCAGTATCTAGAAAACAAAAGATTTTTAATTCCATAATATCTCTGTAGAAAATGACTGTGGGATGTAGTATGGCATTGTAGGTGTGTGTCTTTCCCTATTCGCTGGGTTTAGAATATGCTAGTGGCAAGATTTGTTAATATTTTATCTAATATTTAGTTTGAATATTTTATCTCCATGTGGAGACATGGATAAAACTGTTGATTGTAATGGAAATATGAAATGACTTTTATTTCTTGCTGGCACCTTGGCTTGATTTCTGGAAAGCAAGGATCTTAGTTAACTCTAAGTATTACTTTGAAAGGAAAGCCACTAAAAGGACTAATCTTTAAATTAACATATACATAAAAGATTATTTAAGCAAATGGATCCAGACAAGGTGAGTGAAACCAGATTCTCTAAGGAAGGAGATGAAATTATCAGAAATATGGCAAAAAATATAATGGTTACTTTTGTTTGGGTGTCATGGGATCTACACAGACAAAGAAAGTCCACACAATGCTTCTCAGAGTCTACAAGACAACCCAGGGCCTTAGGACAATTCTGGTTCTGGTTCTTGGGCATCACTGGACCTTGAGTGAGGAACTAGCTGGCAGAAATCACCTGACTTTACTTCGGTTTGTTTCACCCCCTTCTCCTCTCTTAGCTGTTTTGAAAACCGGACAGCCAACAGCAGGTCAGAGCAGATTGTGATCCTGGAAGAATAAGGGGAAGGACAGCTCCTGTAAAATGGTGCTGTGGGTGAGTTAACTAAGCAGAACCTGCTTTGTTCTTTCACTTATTAGCTTAAGATTGTTCGTAGCATACTGGAAATATGGTCATTGGTGACATGCATTGCTTGGGGTCTTTTGCAGTCTGGCATGCCTTTGTTGGGAAAGTGATACCCAAGAAGTTGGGATTTTCTACCTAAACTCTGAGTTTATTATTTTCAGTATGTTTTTTAGTACTTCAATAGCAAGATAAACCATCTATTGCACTGAAAGAAAAAAATAGGATGTAAACAAATAATTCAATAGCAATGAGATGATTTCTTTCTGGCTTACCAAATGATTTTTTTCCTTCATAATTAAATGGCTCCTTACTGCCCTCAAACATATGTGTACTCTCATGTGGCCTCTGTGAGGACACTGGGAGCATAGAGGCATCTTGACAAGCCCATCCCACTCACAGTCTTCTGCTGTAATGTTCTTTGCATTGCTTTATTTTGTAAACAATGTGCCTCATTGTAGGACCCACCCTGACTTTAAAGCTACAGTTCAGGGCTGACATGTGGTTTGTGTTTTCATTTCCTGAAGATCATTTGTTTTGAGGTTCTCATGCTGTTGACTTAATCAGAGGGCTTTTTCGAGACAACTTGACATGAGGTCTCTGGTAAACAAAGTGTCACTGAAACTTTTATTAAATTATTGTTAAGGTTTGGGGATGAGTTTGTTACTTTATTTTCATTTCCTCTGAGCATTTGAAAAATTCAATAATCAGATCTAAAGGAATCAAAACAAACAAAAATGTTTATAAGTTCCAACAGGTCAAGAAGAGTAACAAATTAGCATAGGCTAAGATGTGTCAGAAATATTTGTGAAGACATTAAGGCATGTGTATGTAATTTAACAGAACAGTAATTTTAGTATTGTGAAAGAATGGATTTAAATAATTATTTCTAGAGATGAAAATGGACCAAGTTTTTAGAAACTCATCACTGTAGTGTTCCTGTGAGGGGGTATTTGAAAAGGCTGCAAAACAGTGAAATCTTCCTGCTAATTATTGGGACATGAACCTAACATTTGGAGAACAGAAAATAAGAATTTACATTGCAAGGACCTCAAAGGCAGCATTTTCATCCCTTTCTTTGGCCAGAGCCAAAAATATCCTTGGCTTTATTCTGGTTAAATGTCAGGGATGCCAGGCAGGAGATGCAGTTTTTCTTCATCTCAGTCCTCCTGAAGGTGCATCCCTGCCCTGAAGCTACATGTGAGGGTGTGATCAAAAGTCCAGTCTAGACATTGAACAGCTTTAGAACTGAATTTCTGGATATTCATGGTAGAAATGTGTTCTATCTATTCTTCAACTTCAACTCATTTCCTAAATGATTTGAGCATCTCAACTTTTGGGGGTGAATGTTAGATAAACGCATGGGGATTGTAGTCTTGGAGGCCATTGAGAGTAGACCTTCACTGTGGTCTTTTAACTCTGCCTCTTTTTTCTCTGGTAGCACAAGAAAGGAAAACACCATAGCTGCTCCTCCTTAGACTTTAGATTAAAAGCATGCAATACCTCTGGCCCTGGGTGGGGACATGACACGCTGATGTGCACTAAAGATTGGAATATTACAAACAATTGTCTCTTCCTTTAAGAATTAATGTGACTGGGCCTTTCAGTTTCCTGGCTGGGAGTCTATCCTTCTTCCTCTGAATTTTAACTTAGAAAAGCATGGCTATTCTCTTTTTCTCCTCTCTGTCTTCATCCCCTTTCCCTCTCCTTCTTTCTCCATTCTTTTCCTTCCCTCCCTCCATTTATTTATTTATTTTTTTTTTTTTGGTTTTTCGAGACAGGGTTTCTCTGTGTAGCTTTGTGCCTCTCCTGGAACTCACTTGGTAGCCCAGGCTGGCCTCGAACTCACAGAGATCCGCCTGGCTCTGCCTCCCAAGTGCTGGGACCAAAGGCATGCGCCACCACTGCCCGGCACCATTTATTTTTTTCCTCTTTTTTTTTTCAGATACTGTCCTAAAACCGTGCAACTGTTAGCTGGCCGCTGACCTCCATTGCTGAACATGACAGCTCTCCTGGACCCTGGCCTTCTCTCTTCTCTTTTCCATCTCCTTAGTCACAGAAGTTGCTAAGGTTTACATCTCCCAAACTCCAGCTAAGTTGCCCTAGAGCTTTCTTCTGTGTCTGTTTCTGAATTCTTTTACTAACAAGACTGAGAACTCAGAAAAGAAAACCCTGGTTTCCTAGGTAACAGCTTCAGGTTTAAGTATTAATAAATGCTATTAGTTCTTCTGACAGTCCTCACACATTGAACTTGGCCTGTCTTCTCAAATACTGGTCCTCCCAAAAGACTACATGAGAGTTTCTATTGATCAATGTGAAGTTCATAATACTGTTAATGAGACAGCTCACAGTAAACTGAGGTCAAACTTATTTGACTAACAAACATTAAAAGGCATCTTCTGATTTAGAAACTCATAAGGACTGTAGGAAAAATGGAATACATTGTTCTTTTCTTCAATATTTTTACAATTAATTTAGGGGATTTGGATTGAGTACTTCACTGTAATCCAAAGAGACTACACTATATTTTACCAGGAAGGAATAAATGAAAGTCTAGGGATGTTACAAGATGACTGATGGTGGCTTTTCTGTTTAGGAAGAGTCTACATTGGGTATGTAATTCCAGTACTCAGGAGGCAGAGGCAGGAGAAGTGTTGCAGGTTCAAGGCCAGCCTGGTCTACATGACAAGATTGAGGCCAGTCACAACTATGAAGTGAGACTTTCTCTCAAAAAATAAAAATAAAAAATGAAAAATCAAACCAAACAAAAATCCAAACAAAAGAATGTGCCATTAATGATGGGGTCTTAAAGGACTCCTAGACATGTCAGTTTGACCAATATCATTTTCTGACCTGAACACACAGACATTAATAAGGACAGCAGGTCTAAAATATGATTGCTTATTAAAATGGCTCTCTGGCATCAAATGATGTTCCCTTCACCTTTTACCTTTTTTCCTTTGCAGTGCTAAGGGTTGAACCCAGGGCTTTGTGCCAACAGCCTACAACTGAACTATATCCCTTGCCCTAAACTGAGTTCATTTTAATACCAGATATAGGTTAAAAACTATTGTATGTATAAACTTCCAGGTCAGCATATTCAATATGGTTCATATTTTGGAACAATTTATATATATTCCTGTATAGCTAAAGAACTTTAGAGATTTTGTTTTCATACTAAAATTTAGAAAGACATTAAATTTTAAGACTTTTAATAAAGTATATACAATTCATTGGTGTTCCTGTAAACTTTGGAAGATTTAAAATTTTTCCTTCTTGGTATTTTTTTTTTCAAGAGAAGAAGCTGTAATTTTAATTCTTCCTTGAAGGAAACTTTGAAAAGGAGTCAGTCCATATCTCTGACTTGCCAAAATTATGTATGGAGTCTTTCCTCATTGGTTTTAGATTTTGGTATTATTTTAAACAAGCCAATTACAGTATGCTTGCACATTGTTATTATATAATGAAATTAGAAGGAAAATACTACAGTTATTTCAATGTGGTAAGATTATAATTGACATGTTAATTTTCCCTTATATTTCAAATTTTTAATAATGTGATTATATTTTGCACTGATTAGTGTCAATTAAAGACTAAACAAAAATTTACCTAAAATATGTTATCATACATTAAGATATATGTCCATTTCAAGAAAATTGAGATTGAACTTACAGTGCATTTCAAGACTATTGTAAGAGTAAGATTACAATTGGGTATTTATTATTTATAAGACATAAGTCAATGGAAAAATAATGGAAGCATATAACATACAAGCAATTAATGAATTAATGATGGCCACCTATGAGCAGACTTCAATTTTTCTAAGTAAGATTTGCATTCACGGAATTGGAGAGATAGCCCAGTAGTTAGGAGAACTGGCTATTCTTGCAGAGTATCAAGGCTCAACTCTCTACATGCACATGGTGGCTCACAACTGTCTACACTTCAAGTTCCAGGAGATCCAACACCCTCTTCTGGCCTCAGTAAGTTATAGGCATGCAAATGTGCGCTGACACCTGTGCAGGCAAAATATCCATACACATAAACAAGGTAATTTAAAAATTGCCAGGCAGTGGTGGCACAGACCCTTAATCCCAGCACTTGGTAGGAGAGGCAGGCGGATCTCTGAGTTCATGGGCAGCCTGATCTACATAGTGAGTTCCAGGAAAGCCAGGGCTACACAGAGAAACCCTGTCTTGAAAAACAAAACAAAACAAAAAACAAAAAAAAATGCATTTACTTTAAAAACCATAATAAACATGAAAACATTTGTTTCATAAACATCTGTTCAAAGAGTCAATATGTTTATTTTTTCTTAAAAGTGAGTGGTAAAACTGAGAGTTGTAAAATTATCAGATGCCACCTGTATATTGAGAAATGTTCATCATGCACTTGTTCCTCAGCTCCCTGTCATGAGTAATAGAAGTTTAACAATTGTGATTTTTAAAAGTTATATCTATAACATAAATCTTATATAAGTACTCCTAGAATCAGCTTGCTCATTTGTAAAATAGTAACAACAAAACATTTTTCTTGCCTTTAGTAGAAGAAACTGCTGTAAAATTTGTGTCGAAGAAAGCCTGTGCCTTTGATTAAGAGAGTACTTAGAAGTGTTGAGGGTTGCTTGACAAGGGTACGGACGAGAGACAAGAAACTAGTAGATACTAGGGTGCTTTTTTTCATGCAAGCGAGGTTGGCCTCAGGAGAAAGTGACCTAGTGCTTCATGTTGGGTCATAATGGTCCTGGCTCTAGAGACAGCATTCTAAACATTGAGTAATTGTGTTTTTGATTTTGTAGTTTGTAAGAAAAGTCCAGTAGGCTGATGGAACAGAAGCTGGTGGCTTCTATCACCCCAGGTAGGTTCTTGGCTGCTAGTTCCTCTCCTACTATCAACTCCCATCTGATGATCTAACCACTTTTGGGCTGGTGCGTTCTGTGTCCTCCACTCTTGGCAGATGGTCAGAGCTTAATCACAAGAGAGGGTCTTGCTGATCCTGTCCTATGTTTGAGCATGCTCGTGCGCGCGCGCACACAAACACACACACACACACAGACACACACACCCACCCACCCCACACACACACACACACACACACACACACACACACACACACGCGCGCGCGCACACACACACACACACGGGGTGGGGGCGGCGTGGGGAAAGACAGACAGACAGACAGGCAGACAGACAGACAGAATAGGAAGTAAATTATGTGTCATCAAAATAGAAAATGATTTGGAAGAAATTTTTGGTAAGGCCAGATAATCTTAGCGGAAACTGGAGAATTCTTCCATCTTGCTGGTCTTCCCTTGTTGGCAGTTCAGGAGGCCATCTGAAAGAGCAATCTGAGCATCTGCACACAATGTGGCCGCAGATGTAAAGGGCAAGCCTGGGGCGTGTCACAGCTAGAAGGCTGCTTAGAGTTCTAAGCTCTACCATGCCTTTCTCCGTTGGTTCTGTGCTGTGTCACAGAGAAAGAGATGGGGAGGGAGAGAGCCTGTGAACAGTTAAAGGCTGCTGCCAGAAGAAGGAAGAGAGAAATCTCAGCCTCTGGAAAGGGAAAATATCCTGCTTTGTTTATGTAGTCAAAACACCAGTTTAAGTAAAAGGAGTTTCCACAGCTTGTTAAGAAAAATTTTCCAGAAAATTAAGCCTTTATTCTCTCTTATCTCATTTTTACCTTTGCTGCTAACCCAAGAGCAATAAAACTCAGAAATCTTATAAAGTATTATGGCCTGTAAAATAGCTCATGAATGTAATATGTTTGGTCTGGGGAAATCTATTTTTATCCATTACATGGAACATGGAGTACACTGCACTTTCTTCCAAGTAACTTTTGGAAGCTAGCTGGCGAAACAATTCATCACAGCTAGCAGCTCCTTTCTGGAGATCGGTACTGTTGTGACATGGAGAGCACTAGAAACACATGGTCTCCCTGTCTCCTGCTTTGCGCCTTCTTCGAAAGTGTTTATATTTGCTTGTGATAAAATGCATTAAGTTTCATAATCCTGAACAACCTTCTGGTACACAGATTCCCTTTGAAACAGTGCAACTGGGAAAACAGAATTTTTTTTTTCTTTTTTTCCCCATAAAAAGTCTGCGGGGGGGTGGGGGGGGTGGGAGGGTGGGGGGCTTTCTTAGGTAGCTGTGCATTTTGTACAAGCCAGGTGCCAAGTTTGAATTTTTAAATGTTCAAATTCCAAAGCAACTGTTAAGATAAATCATCTTTATGATGAATATCTTCCTCTCCCAAATAGGTCATATTCATTGTGAATGAGTGTCGGCTTATCTATGACTTAACCCCAATTGTGAGAGCAAAGTCAGGGCTCATTTCACCCCACAATGTCATTTCTAGAATGTTCAGTGACCTTAGTGGTTATGATGGTGTTTCAGGTGCATGAGAGGGCTCAACTGAAGGGGCTTTGTTATCACAAGACAACCATAAAGAGCACCTTCTCTTCATACAGAGATAAGTCTTATGAGCATTGTTACAACCAATTACTTCCTCTACATCCAGAATCAGTGATATAACTCTCTCCTGAGCAATTGCACATTTAAGTCAATAAAGAGAAGGAAATTATTTTAGGTATATTAAAATCAATTTTCACTAGATCTAGCATGCTAGCTGGACAAGCTTTATATTTTGACTTGTTATGTGCATTATCATTTTCTTTATACTTTTGAAGACAAGCACTTACAGTATAGGGTGACCTTGAACTCATGACAATCCTCCTCCCTCAACCTGCTAAGTGTTAGTGTTATGGGCATGATCCCCTATTCTTGGCTTGCATTATGATTTGTAGATTTTCAACCATCTTTTAAAGTCCCCTGCACAGTTTCTCCTTGTTTTAACTGTTGGAAATTTTAGCTTCAAACTGTGTCGTGTCAAGTGCAGTTACAGCGTACTCATCGGAAGACTATTCTGAAATGCCCTTAGTGTATCCGGTGTTGAAAGCCTTCTACTTTTGCCCCCTTATAACACCTACAGGCAAAAACATCTCAATCATGTTTTAATTTTTGAAATTTTGGAATTGTGTCTCTTTCAGAGAGTGCCAGCATGTATAACAAAAGATTTGAAGACACAGTTCCAGCTCTCAATTTATGGCAACATCAATTAAGATTATCAGTGTAATTCCAATGCCTAAATACGTATTTGATAAAGAATGTGGTCTTCCAAATCTCGTAATTTACTAGTACCGTGGGCCAACTTTAAAAAAAATATGATTTAACTTGAAATATTGAAGAAATGGAAAACCAGCTTGACTCTAAGCACTTTGGAATTCATTCAAGATTCAAACTGTTAGAAAGTGATTCAATCTGTTCACTGCCCTGGGTTTTTCAGGGATTTTGCACCTGTAGTAAATTGAAAAATCAGAAAAGACTGTATTGTTAGAAGAAGATAATAACAGTAACAAAGAAGCAATCATCTTTAACATGTCAAAAACTCCCATGTGGACAGCACATGCCCTCACAAGGTTAGCAGGCTTTGAAAGGTATTTGACTTTATGGAAGTTACACAGCCACAGGGATGGGCCAGCAGTCATTAATATGATTAAACCATTCTTACACAAATGCTACCTAGAATAGAAACAAGTCATCCAGAACCTTACTGAAGTGAGATGATGAATGGAATAAATTGTAAAAGCAAGAGAAAGCAAGGGGCTTCCAAATGATTTTGTTTGAATAGCATATTAAACTTAAAGAGCTCTTATCATAAAGGGAATATTTAACAACTTTAATATTTTCCAGTACTATTTTAAAAATCCAGATACGTAACATGGGACCCAGGCAAAGACACTAAGAATAGCTCTGATTATCCAATTTTATTGTGAAACTGTATTCAAGAGAGAAATACTGGAATGTGTGACAGGTACATGCCATACCTTCATCAGAAATTTGACTTCTGATGAAATATCCTTGTGAGGTCTTAATATTCTGAATACATATCTTACTTGTAGATCCTAACTGCCTAAAGTCAATTTGGAACACCTTGTTGTATCTCCAAAGGGTCCTTGCCCATTACAGGACTATTGTTGGTTGTTTTGCTCTTTTTGGGGTGCTGCCACTCAGTTCCCAAATAAATCACACACAGAGGCTTATTTTTAATTATAAATGCCTGGCTTTAGCTTGGCTTATTTCTAGCTAGCTTTTCTTAAATTATGTCGTCTATCTTTTGCCTCTGGGCTTTTAGCTTTCTCTTTCTTCTGTAAATCTTACTTTCACTCTTACTCCATGGCTGGCTGTGTGGCCCTGTGGCTGGCCCCTAACATCCTCCTCTCCTTATTCTCTTGATCTTTCTTTTTTTCCTCCCAGATTTATCCTTTTATTTATTCTTTCTGCCTACCAGTCCTACCTATCATTTCTCCTGCTTGCTATTGGCCATTCAGCTCTTTATTAGACCATCAGGTGTTTTAGACAGGCAAAATAACACAGCTTCACCAAGTTAAACAAATTCAACATAAACAAAAGTAACACACCTTAAAATAATATTCTACAACACAGGATCATAAAGTGGTTTGTGTTTTGAACATATTCCTTTGTTCACAGACACATCCAGCCAGCAGAAGAGGCTTCTGTGTCTCAAATTGAATGATGTCAATTTGGAGCTTAGAGAATTGTGAGTGCTTTTAGAGTGGAGGTTGAAGAGGACCTTAAACTTATGGACATATATCATAGTTTAACGAGTTCAGGCCAAGTATTTCAAAATATATTTTAAATGCTGAACATTTAAAATGATGAAACTAAGGTACTGTTGAAAAAACATCTTTCCCCTGCTTATGACAAACTGTTTTGCAGGATCTCCAGATTACCAGAATTTACTTGAACAAGAACAATAGATGTATCTTTGGATAGAAAACTGTATCTGAATAATATTTTTTTTTTACATCTGTTAAACCTGGTGCTAGTTCAGTAAGGAATCAGAGACTGTGTCCATAAACTAAACTAGGAAGTGGTGAAGGATCACAACGATCCATGCAACCAAACTAAGCTTTCTTATTTGTGAGCTTGCAGTGTTTTGGAGAGGGGTTGCCCCATTATCTCTTGCTTCAATCAGAGAATTTTGACAAACATCACAACCAAGGTTGGTGCTGGTTCTGCTGAGGAACTGGCGGGAAGAAAGGCCCGCAAGAGGCTGTGTGCAAAGATCTCCTCAAAGGCTCCTCTGTGATCTTCCTGCCTAGTTAATTTAAAATTAGGTGCTGTTCTTGAGAGATGATACCTTAGAAAACTGGCACTCTTTTTTTTTAAAAAAAGAAAACTATCAAATCTAATTTGTGCTTCTCAAACACTCATGTGTGTGGAGCCATCTCAGAGAGCATTTTATAACCTACCAGGGGTGATATTTCCTTTAGGGGAGGGGTTTATTTATTTTATTTTATATGCTTGAGTGTTTAGCCTGCATGTGTGTGTGCGCACTATGTGCATGCCTGGTGCCTGCAGAGGTCAGAAAAGGGCATCAACTCCACTGGAACTGGAGCTACAAATGATGTGAGCCACCATGGGGTGCTGGGAATCAAATCCACATTCTCTCTAAGAATAAGAGCTCCTAACCACTGAGCCATCTCTTCAGCACCCAGACCACATTCTTTAAAAACACCAACTCCCCCTCTTCCAACAGCTAAAAATTACCAGCAGCTCTTCAAAGAAGGGTGGGACTTCATGCCCAACTCTCCCCTCTGTATTAGGATTTTTGTCTGACTTGAGTGCACATGGGTATTGACTCCCCGCTCCATGTTGGGATTTTGTTTAACTTGAGTGCACGTATGTCTTGATCATGCTCTCACAACCGCTGTGAAGAATTCATGTGTGCAAGCGCCCTGTTGTGTCCCCAAACACTGTCTCATTCTAGCCATTGACTGCTATGGCACTTACAGTCTCTCTTCCTCCTCTTCTACAATGCTCCCTGAGTCTAAGCAGGAGGGTGTGATGTCCCTTTAGGGCTGAGCGATCTGATGTCTCATTCTCTGCACTGTGACTAGTGGGAGCTGTTAGGTCAGTTACCATCTACTCCAAAAAGACACTTTGCTGGTGAGTTGTGAGAGTTGCCCCAATCATGGGTATAGTGAGAAGTCATTAGAACTCTATTTAAAGCTATATCCACTTAGCAGAATAATAATAGTAGGTTCTCGCCTAGGGCATTTGAGCCAGAGATTTGTGACAGATAGAAGTTCCATCTTGTGGAATGGGCCTTAAATGCGGCTATTAAGTGGTTTATTATTCCTGTGCCAAACGTGCCCACTATTGCACCAGTGGGCATATCTTGCCAGGCCAGTCATTATTAGAGCTGGTAGGGTTCATGTTGATGGCTTTATTTTATCAGTTGTTCTGAAACCCAGTACTGGGGAAAAATCAACAAAAGTCAAGATCACCTGTGAAAGCATCAGGAATGCTTTCATTAAGCTCAAACATACAATTTAGAGGAATGTTAAAGAAGAACAATGGGATATTAATACAGTACATGTTGTGGAGCAGGTAAAATATGGTAAGAACTGAAAAGTCTTATAACCTAGATTTCAGTTACTTCAACTTAGTAACCTGATTTCTTATATATTAAGTAAATTAGGGACTCAGGTGATTAAGTACATAAACACTTAAATGACAGAGTACAGGAGTGATAGGCTAAAAAGTAATCAGATTTAAATGTCCATTTCTCTTGTTGAATGGTCAGTAATTTTTTCTAAACAGCTCTATGAAAATATAGCCCTGGGCTTGTGAGATGGATCAGTGGGTAAATGGCTTCTGTTGCCAAACCTGAGTTTGATTCCGGGGACTCACATAATGGACAGAGAGAACCTACTCCTGAAAGTTGTCTTTTGTTCTCTAAACATATACATTGGCATTGGTGTGTCCATATGCACACACACAGTTACACATCCATATAAAAATAAATAGATAGATACATATATAAATGAATAAATGGAGTAAAAATATAGCCCTGTAAACAACCCGGACTCTTAACACATGAGAGCTTATCAATCCCTAAGTCACCAAGCAGAGTATTTGTGCATGTCACTACATTTTTAAATGATCTTTTCAACTTTTAAAAAAGAGCTCTGCATCTCAGTGAGTGGTTTCCACAGTAGCTGGAGCAGGTGGTTCATCACCTGCCTTTACTTGCTTCTGTAGGAAGTGTTCATTTTCGTCCTAAGCACCAAGTTACTCCTGAATGGAACATTGCCATCTTACCAGCCACTGCTCTCTTTAGCTTCTTGACTTCTAGTTCCAGCTCTGAGGTTAAATGTGTTGGGGAAGAGTGTTAGGGATTGAAATGAGTTTGTCTTTAAAACAAGAGAGCCATATTTAGATATAAATCTTGACAACTGGCGTGACTCACCAGCCGATTTTCTCTTTTGTCTAAGTATCACTGAATTTTCTGAGACACTGAAAGTATAAACGTCAAATTTAGTAATATCAGAAGTATTGTTGTATTTCTGAATTAGTTAACCCCATACAAGACCTTTAAACAGCA